GGGAATTTGGGAAGGGTGAACTTCAAGTAGACCATGTTTACTCAAGTTCTCTTTTTCATGCAAGAGTGGAGGATTTGGGAAGAATGGACTTCAAGTAAGACCATGCTTACTTGAGTTCTGCTTTTTGATGAAAGACTGGAGGATTTGGGAAGAGTGGACTTCAAGTAGACCATGCCTACTGGAGTTTTGTTTTTGATGCAAGATGGAGGATCTGGGAAGGGTTGACTTCAAGTACACCATGTTTACTCAAGTTCTGTTTTTGAACAGCAGAAGATATCTGTGTTCATGGCCAAGAAGGCAGGAACAGACTTCCAACTTCTCCTGTTCAGGTTCTGATTCATAAAGCATCTAAGATCTTTTTAAAAAAAAAAACTGGGGTGATTAACTTTGAAGCAGCTGATACCCAAATCATGTTAAAATACGTCTGGAAAGAAAAAAAAAATGCTGGCCAGTTGTGGGGATGAAAATCACCCTCACTTCAATGCAGCTACCGACATCCCCTTCGTAAAGAGCCTTTCCCCAAAAATCATTTGACGAAGCCATTATTTGACATCAAGAATTCTGATTTTTCTATTGAAAACAATACATGGACATATTTTGTAAGTGAACTGCTACCTGTATATTTATGTATACAAACATGGGTATGTAGTTAGCTAATCAAAACCCACTGAAGGCTGGTGCGGTAGAATAAGACGTGGTTGTTCCAGCAAGCGGGACTGGCCTAGGGGATTTTATAGGGGTTTTAATTATTTTTAATTGGACACTCTCAAATATTTCGTTTTAATTAAATTTTAATTAGGTGTAATATGTATTTATGTTAGCTTTTTATCATTTGTCAGCCGCCCTGAGTCCGAAAGGAGAAGGGCGGGATATAAATGGAATTAATAATAATAATAATAATAATAATAATAATAATAATAATAATAGAATAACAACAATGCAACAGAAAGGCGAGTTGGGAAAAAGAAAGGAATTCTTTGAGATTGATAGCATTTACTATATACTTAAAAGAAATATATAAGCAGACCTACAGAGTCTTCTCATCCACTAACAGGCTATCCCATCGTCCACCATTCGACCCCTCCACACCAAATTTACATTCCTTTGGGTTTTTTTCAGTGTTCAGTGCCATCCTTTTGACAATGGTAGGTTTAAAGATTCTTCCATATGCACACCCCTTTATTCCACCTTACGCAAAGACCGGGTGCAAATTTTGTCTCCAGAGAAAGGCCCGAAGATGCCAACCCCTCATTTCTGTCCAACGGGTTTTGCCCGCATTACGATTCAGAATTTCAAGATTGGGCCTCCCTCTTTCATGCCCATCGCTTGGGAAACGATAGAGCCAATCAATCTGCTGCTTTCTCGATGAGTTATGTTTCTATAGGTTGACGTGTCAAACGATTTCCCTCCTCCCCCCTCTGCTAATGAAGACACAAACATGTCGGTGCAAGACAGGTGTGCATTTAAAACTGTGCTTCAGAAACAATAGGGAGAGTGAAATCTCCTCCTTCAACGTTCCCTGTTGACCTAGATCAGGG